CCGGCCGACCGTGTCCATCCGCGCAGAGCGAGGGCCAGAGCGACGCTCTGCCCCGCTCCGCTGCGCTCGGCCGGCCGCGGGCACGTCCAGAATCCCTCCCGGGCCGCACCCCTCAAAAGCAACAAGTAATTTGCTCTCTGTCCACGGCGCCTCACCGCCGCACACGTCGGCGTTTTTACCTTGAGGAAGCCACGCCGGTGTCTTGAGTAATCAGCTGCATACACAGATGCGGTCGCCGAGACAGAAGCTATTCAGGAGGAAGAGTCAAAGATGACAGCGAGAAATGTCAACGAGGTTAATCACACTTCACGCAACAGACAAGACGGCTGTAACTTTAAGGAGGCGCTGAGCCGAGCTGGGCGCAGACTTTTATTTTGCCACTTTATAGCCTGCTTCACAACTACTTGGACAAATACAAAACAAGAATTACAGTGCTCCATAAGTTATTTTAATATCCTGTAGTGGTGCATACTTCCAATGAAATCCCAAGACTATTATTACGGTTCTCTGTTTGTGTGAAAATGTCAAGTTGTTTCGAGAGACTACATACTCTGAATTATATATAACTGTTACTTTATAGCTAATAGGCACTAAAATTACTTTAAAACAGAAATGTAAAGTTATATTTTCATCCTTTTTGACAGATAATAAAGCTTATTTATGAGATACAATTTTTCAAGCATTAAAACATTTCATGTTTACAAAAACATTAAAAATATTATTACTTGATATTTAAAAGAATGAAAAAAAGCAAAACCATTATGAAAACATTTGCCCTGCCTGGCGACGTCTCTGTTTTGTCAAAATGTCGTGACTTCATGTGTGAAACTCACAGGTTTAACTACTTTTAAAATTAAAAATACCTGTAGGTTCAAACAAAGGCCAGCGAGCCGGGCTCCGCCTCGGCCCCAGCGCGGGGAGCGGCTGCTGGCGCCCCGCCTGGCGCCCCGGCCCCTGGCCACCTGGGGACACCGCCAGATGTCGCTGGGCGGGGCCAGGCCGGCCCTGGCTTTGCACCAAGTTGTGTGGACGAGAGGCCTGAGCACCCTTGGGGTTCCTCCACCCCTCCGATTCCACCGCCGACAGAGCCCTCTGCTCCCCAGGGCGGCTGGGCCCAGCGGAGCGGACAGAGGAAGCCAAGCATGCCCAGGGGAGGCGTCCCCCGCCCAGGCAGGGGTGTCAGCAGGGAGCCCCCGGAGCCCTGCCCACCAGGCCACTTCCGCGCAGAGCTCCCGTCACGGGGGCCCGAGGAGCCGCAGCCCCAGGGCGAGCCGGCCTGAGCGCCCCCAGGTTCAGGGACCCTGCAAGTGCCCGCGTCCACCCACAGCCTCCGGAGGGCGCAGGCGCCCTCTGGCACCAGGCGCCCTGCTGAGAGTCTGAAATAAAACGCCAGGGCAGAGGGGCAGAGAACCCGGAGGCCGCGCTGCCAGGGGCACTAGCGGCCGGCGAGCTGGGGGCGCCAGCAGAGCCTCCCCGGCAGAGCCCCGGCGGAGGTCAGACCCCTTCCGGGGAGCGGCCCAGCCAGCAGCGTCTGCAGCCACCCGCCCGGGGGCTCAGCTGCCCTCCCCGCTACTGCGCGCTGGGCTGGCCACGGCCGCGCACCAGCTACCGGCTCCCCGGCTCTGCCAGCGGCCCCTTTTCGCCAGCACGAGCTTCTCTCACCTCCACCAGAGGCCGCCCGGGCCGCGGAGTCCCGCCTGGCAGAGGCACCGCAAGTGAGCGGCTCTTCTTCCCGGGCTCTGCCACCCCAAGTGTCCCCGAGTCCTCCGGGCTGGACATCCACCAGTGCAGGCCACAAGCCCCTCAGCGCCCCACCTCTGCCACTGGGCAGGGTCTGCTCAAGGGGACGTAGGCCTCCTGCTGCGGACAGCTCGGCTCTGCTGGAGGGCGCGGGCGTGGCTGGGTGTCCGGCAGAGACGTCAGGCATGGACATCGGACGTCGGGCGTAGGGTAGGACGTGGGCCTCGGGCGTGGGCCTCGGGCGTGGGCGTCAGCCTGGGGGTGGGGTTCTCTTCCAGCACTTCCCCGCCTCCTCCAGCCCTCTGGCAGGTGCAGTTCCAAGCACCGGCCCGGAACTGGCCGCCCCTGCTCCTGGCGCTGCCATCCACCCGCTGTGCCCCCAGCCCGGAACTTAGGCTGGGAGGGTGGTGGTCCCCACAGGCGGCCTGGTGGGAGGGCCCGGCAGCTGCCCTGGACAAAACGCCTCCCGGTGCTTTAAAGCCTGATCTCCATCATCCCGCAGACTCTGCTCCTCCTCCCGGAGCTTCATTAACTATTAATCCAGCTCCCGGGCAGGAGCCAGGAAACCCATCTCTTCTGTAGAAAAGGAGGGGAACGTCTTAGCTTTGCAGAATTTTTAAGAAAAAAAAAAGTGAGGATTGGTAAACATAGTCAGGCCGTCCTAGAAGTCCAGCGGAACTCGTGC